CTATGTTAGCTAATGATTTTTATATGGATTCATTTTCTCGTTAACCCTAAAAGACAATGCAATGCAGTGCAAAATTCAAAATTTATTCTTTGGAACATCGTAAGCATAATGATTTTTCTCTGTCCTAGAAAAGATTAACTGAGAGAAGTTTTGTTGTTTATTGATTGATTGATTGATTTTTTTAAGCTTAAGCTCCTGATGGGAATAATTCAACACACACACACACACACACACACACACAAACATTCTGACTGGCACAAACCATATTTATCCCTGGCAAATTTAATGTATTGAATTTGTCAGTTGTTTTATGCTTGTGCTTGCTTTGCTGCAAATATACTGATTATAATGTTGTGTGTGTGTGTTTTTTATGGACATATGGCCTTAAATTTGTCCAGATTTGCCTACTTCCTACTATATAGGAGGAAAAGGGTATATGAGAAGAGTATATGTGACCCTGGAGCACAAAAGCAGTCTTAAGTCGCCGGGGTATATTTGTAGCAATAGCCAAACATACATTGTATGGGTCAAAATTATTGATTTTTCTTTTATGCCAAAAATCATTAGAATATTAAGTAAAGATTATGTTCCATGAAGATATTTTGTACATTTCCTACCGTAAATATATCAAAACTTAATTTTTGATTAGCAATATGCATTGCTAAGACAACATTTGGACAACTTTAAAGGCGATTTTCTCAGTATTTGTATTTTTTTTTGCACCCTCAGATTCCAGATTTTTAACCAAACCATACATCAATGGAACGCTTATTTATTCAGCTTTCAGATGATGTATAAATCTCAATTTTGAAAAATTGACCCTTATGACTGGTTTTGTGGTCCAGGGTCACATATGTCCGAAATCATATTATTCATACCTGAAAAAGCTAATCAAGATCTTCAGGACTACTACAACGTGACAGGTGAGTTTGATCTGGGCTGGAGCTAAACTTTGGAAAAGAGTTGAGAAACCCAGCCCTAAATTCTCAGCTGAAGGTTTTAAAAGTGCAATCGAATTGGAACATAGTGTGTTTGAAAAAGTCACGACAACAATGTAAATGTCATCTTCATTTAAATGATAATTTGCTGAATCGAGGATGCATGAAACTGGAGTGTGGGAATATTATTGCTGTCTAATGATATCACTTGTTTCACTCATTTCACTGTGTCTACATAATAGCTCAAATCTAATTATAATAGTTTTTGAATAATATTTGAATTACACCTCTTTTGTTTTCAGCATAATTTCCACATTGCTGATGATAAAGGTAATTTTGTTTCTCTCTACACACAAATGTGTGTGGTTTCGCTTTGGACTAATCAAATAATGGGCTGCCAAATAGCTCGTCGTTGAATATTTTATTTGCAAATGAAGTATTAATAACTCAGAGTCCGTAAAAATATACAATTTTTTACTTGTAGAGGGACATATTTACAAGAATGGAATTTCTTCAAAATGAACAAACTGGTTTACAAAACTCAAAATGTGTGCAACAGCAAAGAGAAATGAAGAGCATGAGTATTTTCCCTTCCGTCTCACCAGACGAGTACTCACGGGCAAATACAGGCCCGAGTTCCCACATTCACAAACAAAAGAAAAACAACAAAAAAATCCCTCAAGATAACGGAGGAAAGCACAGTAAATGTTAAAACAAAGCAATGTGAATGGAAAAAAAGAGACAGAGAGGATGTTGGTCATATTTACACTTACATATTCAGCCGAATACAGGTATGAACACAGAAGCAAAGCATTCCCAATATCTGACCTTTAGGCCATAACATGCAATCTCTTTGCTTTTCCAACGGAAAATAATTCCCTTTTACACCCCTCGAAGTAACACATACTGCTACAGTTTCTAAGAGGAGTCGAAGGAGCCGTTTTAGACATAGGACATTATTTTATAATGGGTAACAATGATCGGTTAGAGGCTACAGACAGTCAAGTACGTCTTTTAAATAGAGTGTTATCTCAAAAATACATCGCAGATGGACCTTAACTCATTCTCTGGATTGAGCTCCCATTCAAAACTGAATGTCCTCATGCAACGTGAGCACCACTTCAGATGCTTTGGCGGCTCTATGGAAGAGTGTGCATACACTGATGGTTTCTAAACACCATGCCAGCTCTTTAACAGTGTTGAAATAAAATCCACTAAAGATTCATTGTCTGAGGATATAGACCGGTTCTTCTTGCTGGGAGATGCTGGGGAGGACTAAGAAAGGAATACAAATCACCTCAAGTGCCTGAATGTAAGAACGGAACTGCTGGAAGGCAAGCTTTCAATCAGCTTTCCTTGTAATAAAGTGGGCCGATCTTGGCTAGTTTGGTGCTGTAATGTCCTAAAACAGAAAAAGGACCAAAATAAACATACAACAACGGCTCTGTTCCAAAACCTACAGAGCTGCCTATGTAGGCAGCATTTTAAAGCATATAAGGCTGTTCCAAAAGGTTCTGATATACCTTCCGATGGCAGCATCACCTGGATTCATATAATGCAATTGCATGATGAATTGCAATAAGCTCAGATAAATCTAATTAAAATTGACTATTTTAGTCAATATTTGTGTCTTATTTATTTTTATTCTGAAACACTGTACATATGGAGCAATTGTTCTTTTAGCTTAGTAAACTGTATTGAAATCAGAATCCTCAACCTTTAATTTCAGAGTTTGGTATTAGCAGGGTCCTACTTTAACAGCATGTTATAGGTTAGGATAAGTCAGCCTTGGAGGCTCTTCACCTATGTAGGCAGTAGACAGCAAGGCAGCATTTTGTAAATTGCAATCACCTGATGCATTTCAATCAGAAAAAAAAACTTCCATCCAAGATGGTGGACAATGAGTGATTCATGATCCATGATTCTGCTAAGGCAGGGGTACCCAAACTCGGTCCTGGAGGGCCGGTGTTTTGCAGAGTTTAGCTCCAACTTGCCTCAACACACCTGCCTTCAAGTTTCTAGTATGCCTATTAAGAGCTTGATTAGCTGGTTCAGGTGTGTTTAATTGAGGTTGGAGCTAAACTCTTCAGGACACCAGCCCTCCAGGACCGAGTTTGGGCACCCCTGTGCTAAGGAATCTTCACCAATCAGAGAATCACAACAAGCAAACCGCGCCAAATAAACTCCTTAGCTCCCGTCCAATTGTCTATTTAGGTATATACAGTATCACTCGCAGTGGTTTCATGGGATTGTAGTTATTTCCCTCAATAAAGTTGTACATTTGTCTTATTTTCCAATGTTCAAATATATTTTTGCTTCAGATCAGTTTTTCATGTTGTGATTCACCTCGTAACTGTGATTCATGGCTTATAATGCTTGAATGAAGACTTTTTAAAAATCAGTCTATGGGAAAAATACTTCAGGAACCAAGGCCACTGAAAGTGGACTGGCACTATTGCACTCTATTAGGATGCTAACCTTTGAGCCAGATACCTATATAGGCAGTAGACAGCAAGGCAGCTCAATAGGTTTTGGAACAGAGCCAATATTTCAACACTTGGACAAGAAGAGTAACTGCCTACAAAAACCCCAAACTCGGTCCTGGAGGGCCGGTGTCTTGCAGAGTTTAGCTCCAACTTGCCTCAACACACCTGCCTTCAAGTTTCTAGTATGCCTATTAAGAGCTTGATTAGCTGGTTCAGGTGTGTTTAATTGAGGTTGGAGCTAAACTCTTCAGGACACCAGCCCTCCAGGACCGAGTTTGGGCACCCCTGTGCTAAGGAATCTTCACCAATCAGAGAATCACAACAAGCAAACCGCGCCAAATAAACTCCTTAGCTCCCGTCCAATTGTCTATTTACGTATATACAGTATCACTCGCAGTGGTTTCATGGGATTGTAGTTATTTCCCTCAATAAAGTTGTACATTTGTCTTATTTTCCAATGTTCAAATATATTTTTGCTTCAGATCAGTTTTTCATGTTGTGATTCACCTCGTAACTGTGATTCATGGCTTATAATGCTTGAATGAAGACTTTTTAAAAATCAGTCTATGGGAAAAATACTTCAGGAACCAAGGCCACTGAAAGTGGACTGGCACTATTGCACTCTATTAGGATGCTAACCTTTGAGCCAGATACCTATATAGGCAGTAGACAGCAAGGCAGCTCAATAGGTTTTGGAACAGAGCCAATATTTCAACACTTGGACAAGAAGAGTAACTGCCTACAAAAACAGCCATATTGTGAAGGCCCAACTGGATGGGTTTCGTCTCGCTCTGTTTAGGGGGTAAAGGTATTGGGGTTTGGACCCTGTGTTCTCCTTACAATTCCCATCATTCACTCCCCACTCTGCATGACAGCCCATCCATCACACTTACTGACAACAGTTCAGCCAGCAACACCGCCTACACCGCCTCGTGGAGAATGCGGCTCTGGAGAGCGCGTCTCGAGTGTGTCTCTATTTATGAGGTCGTGTTAGGCTGTGTACACTTGGGAAGTAGTGTGTGTGTGTACACTTGGGAAGAAGTATATCGGTGTGTATCCAACACAATTGCTGGGGAAGGTAACAGGAAGGCGGCAAATTGGCATAGGCAGCACTCGGCTACATTACAGACTGCATCCCAATAAGAATGACGAACAAGGTTGGCACGTACACTTGAAAGTGGCCCAAACAGAGTGTTGTATGCTTGCTTCCTCACGTCTTATGGCTTTCCTCTCTTAAATATTAAGGTCCATCAATGGCAGATATACAAGTAGCCATTAAGTAGGAAATTATTTTACTTATTAAAGGGAGCTTAGCGGGTCAGGGGCTACAATGACCAATTATTACTCTCTGAAAATGCATAATACCTCATCTACATATTTATTATGGCCTATAACCCCAATCTTCAACTGATGACTTAAAGGATATTGTGTGCGTATATTTATCTGTATGTACAATATAAAACAGCATCATGACTACAGAGTGTACATTATTCGTGGGGCTGCGTTTGGTCCGCCTCTTTGTGCCAGAGCGCTCTCTTTCCCTCCGCTGATGGGGGCTGTTTTACACGTGGCTTGCTTTTTTTTTGTCTGGTACATTGCAAAGAACCAAGGACAAAAGCAATCTCGGGGGATGAATTCACTGTGAAGGCACACAAAACAGGCAACTTGTCCATTTCAAATTTCACAAATGCACCAAGCAAGGTCTTCCCAGGGGCTTCGAGACACCGCTAATGGAGAGGGTTTTGACAGCGCTTGGCGGAGGCTTGGCACAAAGAGCTAGTCATCTTGAGACAGCTTGTTGTTAGAGGGTCCTAGGAGAGTCCTGGGACGGTACCATGGTGCATACACAAACTAGAAGGAGAGTACCGCAAATGTGCACACATGCACTAGTTTCACACACGCTCTGTTCATAAGTCCCTGTTATGGCATTCCCTTTCATTTACTTGTCCACAGAACTATGAGATTACAGTCCCAAGTTACTTGTGCCTCATATGCTATTATGCAGTACCGCTGGGTATTCTAGAAAAGAAGGAAAAAATAAATAAAAAACAAAACTATCTTCGACTTATACACATTCATAGTATTCGTGACAGGTTTTGGTTTCAGTATCATTGGAAATACAGGTAACAAATATACCGCAGTCGATATGTAATACAAACTTAAGTCCATGAAACACTGAGGATGACATCCGAAACCAGACCGCAGACTTTCTGTCAAGGACATACAGTACACTCCATGTATATACACAGATTTAACTGCAAAAATTCATAGCAGTGTGTAGAGAGCAGTTGACACACAGGGGGAATTCACTAAGGATCAATTGCACCCGCCAATGGTATTGTCGATTTCCAGACGTCGTGTTTTTAACACCCAGTTCACGAATTGTGCAAATCACTCGCTGTGACACTGGCTGCGTTCTGAGTGCTAGATTGTGAAGGATACAGCAGATTACTGCAATCTGGTGTACTTTACTGAGAATGTACATACAGCAATGCAAGGCACCTGAAACTGTGATTAAAGTGCGCTTGACTGCATCACACATTGGGATATCATTTGATAGTCAACTTCAGACATTCTACTAAGTAACTTTGCAACTACATGACAACTAATTCTCATTAGAGTATTAGTAGACTGTTAGGTTAGGATTAGGGTTAATAGAATAAGTTGACGAACTTGAAAACTTATAATCAGTTGAATGTCTGTTGGGAACCATCACAATAAAGTTTTAGCAGATATTAAGTAGACAGTCTAATACTCTAATGACTGCTAGTTGACATGTAGTTGCAAAGTTACTTATAGCTATTGGAAGTGGACTACCAAAATAAAGGTTTACCAGATACAATGCTCTTCTTCCATCATTTAATCATCATTTGATGAATTATCACTGCTTTCCATCTGCATCTGTGGGCAGTAATAGCAAAACATTAGGAGCAGTGATTTTTGATGAAAATATACAATATCAGCCTAATTTACATAGAAAAAGTGGGTTTGCGCAAAAACCAATGACAACGGCATCATTTAAATGGGTGTTTTTTATGAAATATAATGTGCTAAGGTAGCGAAACCGTCCAGTGAATTCGCCCCACAGTGTGTTACATGATGACTGAACTGTTAAAGTCCCTCTGTGTCACTACATCAATGACACGGCGTCATCCACGTGCTGAAATGTCCATCGGGGACCATTTCTTCCGATCACTTCACTTATTTTCAGTGGTTTGTTAAGGTATTAATAAGATTGCCTTTGATTTTGATATCTGAGCCATAGTCGATGTTGCATTGCATTCTGGGAAAATTTAATGGGAATGAGATGGACAGTTCATGTTCCCAGAGCTGCCCCCACGTCTTCGACAGAAACAACAGGTTCTTGGATAATATCCTTCATTTCTCTTCAGAATCGGCTGGTCCTTCCTCTCGCCATCATGCTTCATAAACCCAGCCAGCCCTTGGACCTTTAGCCTCTCTGATGCATTAAATAAATAAACTGCACTTGGGGAAATCTTTCCACCCCACCGCCCACAAAGCCTTCAAGAGCTCAAAAAGAGAAAGCAAAACAAAAAATGTGAAAAAGGGTCAGACTGTGCCAAGAGATCAAAAGAAGGGGAGAGAACCAAAGAATGAGAATAAAAATAATTTTTCTTCAGTTCCTCCCTTGTTTTCTTTTTTTAATACTTCAGAAGGGGGCAAGCACTGTGTATTTTCCCTTTTAAATATGCATTCATCTTTTTAGATTTTATATGATTGATTTTATTTTTTAATTATGGTTTTATTTTTTGTGTGTATTTTATTTTTCCAATCGTAGTTGCAACTTTTGGAAGAGTCACTGTTGGGTGTCTTGTACGGAGACCCGCACCAGGGTGCGCTTCCTTTACTCTCTACACTGTCTGAAAGGCCTTGCTTTGAGCAGGGACCAAGACGCCCGCCGGGATGGCTATGCCCACTGGAGGATTGGGGGGTCTGAATTTTGGGGTGGCCGGGGGTTCTGGGGTTTTAGGCACGACCTGCGTGTAGGCCGGGGGAGATTGGGGGAACCCGTGGGGCTGACCGTTCTCCTTGAGGGCGGCGACAGCGGGTGGCCGTGGACGCTGGCCTCGGGGGGCGCTATTGTGCACCATGGACTGTGTGGAGGAGGCACCGGAGCGGGAGCTGCCAGAGCGAGATGAGGAGAGGGAGTTGGGCTTCACCAGCTTGGCTTTAGGAGCTTCTGCATCCTCTCTGCAAAAGTAACAGAAATATTGACATTGGTTACAGATGTCAAAAATATCGGTACATTGATACCAAATCAATCAATCAATCAATCAATCAATCAATCAATCAATCAATCAATCAATCAATCGTAGTCTAGAATTGTAGTCTGGACCACCATTGCCACCATTTTACATACATTTATAAATAATGAAATACAATAAAATATATATATATATATATATATATATTATAATATAAATTAATAAATATACATGTAAATAAAACAAACAAAGAAACAAACAAAGAAATAAATAAATTTGTGCCGTCAATATATGATATAAATTATATGAATATAAATATATACATGTAAATACGTAAATATTTTCAAAATATATGCTGTATGTGTGTCTTAGACATCAAAGATTAAGGTTGCAGAGAGCTTTCTTATAACAAGGTTACTCCAGTATTACAAAAATAAATGACCTAAACATGCTAAACTGGGATAATACTCCACAACTGAACATAGCGAGAGATCCTACTGTGGCCTGACACCCAACGTACGCAGGAACACTCCCCGTATGTTTGTCTGTGCATAATTCAGAGATACTGTACAGCCGTGCTTTGTGGCTGCATTATTGATGTGAACACAAACAGTACAGTTCTGTCACTATAGACCTAAAAACAGCTGTCTGATGTATTACGAAGATTGTCCTGAAGAAAATATGAGGAGTGTACCGTCCTGAACTCAAAAACACAGTCACAGTCTCTGCTGCAGGAATATTAAGAGTTAAAGTGGATCTATAAAAACACAATCAATACTGAGATCTCACCTGATCTCATTAGGCGTCTCCTCCTCCTCATATTTCTTCTTCTCCTTCTTGCGGAAGACCAGCCAGATGATGAGAATGAGGAGCAGAACGCCGAATGAAACACCAACCACGGCTCCAGCCACCACACCTATGCCCCGCACATCTGCACACAGCAGCACATCTGTCACGCCTCATTACATCACATCGCATCTTCATATGATGACAAGTAAAATACAAAACTAAATCATTATAGTTATTTACAGTAGGGTGCAAAAGTCTGACAACACAAGTGAAAATGCTAATATTTTGTATTCTTTCAAAGCTTGTTACTGAATTAAATTAAGATAATTGTAACTTTTATCTCACAATTCAATTTTTAAGAGATTGCAGATGTGAGAAATAAAGCCAGAATGTCAGAATATAAACTTGTCAGAATTGTGAGATAAAAAGTCTTTCATTCACTCATTCATTCATTCATATTATTATTTTTTTTTTTAGTGGCGGAAACAAGCTTCAATGCTTTTCGGTACAAAAACAATAATTACAAATTACATTTACATATACAAATATGTATTTAAGAATTTACACATATATAAATGTGCAACATTAATTATAGCCTGGTAAAGGTGTGTTCTAAGGTGTAGTCGTGCAAACTGGAGAGACATCTGGCTCCTTAATTGTGATAAAATGATTTTGTTTAGTGTGGCTTACTCCTTTAAAAAAATCCATATTCCTATGAAGATGTACATCAATGGTAAAATGGTTTATTACAACATTACATGAGCTTCTATAAGCAATCATTTTATTATAAAAAAATCTCATTTCAGCTATGACCGACTGTCTACAAGCTATGTTTAATTTTATTCATATGCAATTGTTTGTTTTACATCAATGCACATGGATATGAATCAAATATAACATCTGTTATTAGCACTTAAAGGTGCAGCAAATTATTTTTAATCTCATTAGAAACTTTAAAATAATTTCCTCTCATATGAGATGAAAAGTCATATACCAGTCATATTATAAGACTAATAACATAATTTTTTGGTAATATCTTTCCCAGTTGTTATTAAAGCTAATATTAACAAAGCTTAATAAATATTGTAACAAATTAATTGCTTATTGTTTGTAAATGTTAGTTAATGCAATTCATGTGACTTTATTACAAAGTGTTACTTTTTCACATAGAGCAGGTTGCCTCATTGGTTATTTTGATTGATTAATAAATTAATCATACCTGACTGCTAATAGCTCATTTCTACAGTACCTGAAAACTCATGCCGCTGGGTGTCAGTATAAGTTCACTGTCATATCGGCTAGCACTACATAAATAACATTTACTGAGTGCATCTTTAAGAGCCATTTATTTTTGTTTGACAAAGAGCTTTTGATTTGTTCACTGTTTAAACGTTATATTAGCAATGGAGCCCATATGGTACAGTAGTTACATTTTATTAGTGTTCTCATGAGATGTCTTGCGAGTGAAACTGAATTAGGCAGACCCAAATTAAACTGTGCCAGCCACAACTGCGAAATGCCTCTTTCACATAAATTCTTTTCATTTCCTGTGTTGAGAAAGACTAGCACAAGGCCTAAGTGCAGGACAGTTGTCAAGTGTTTATATAACCCTCTCAATCTTTTCCTCTGGTGAGCATTAAATTCTTCTGCCTCTTCCAAAACCATTACACACAAACACTGAAGGATGGCTGTTTGAGCAAGACTGATGACAAATAGCCACACTCTGGCTTTCTTTAGTTCCCAGTGCTCAATGAAAGTGTGTGTTTGTGTGTGTGTGTGTGTGTGTGAGAGAGAGAGAGAGAGAGAGAGAGAGAGAGAGAGAGAGAGAGAGAGAGAGAGAGAGAGACAGAGGGAGATG